TAAGAAAAAGAAAAAAAAAAAAAAAAAAAAAAAAAAGCAGTGCATTAAGTCAGGCCAAAAAACAAAGGTTCCAAAAACTAACACTAGGAACATCATTTTCTGGTCTAAAAGCTTTTTGCATCGAACCCTGCTGAGTTGGAGATCTTTACAAGTTTTCCTGGTTCAATCTGGCTCAATTTCAGGAGCCAACCTTTCATTAAAAAAAACAAACAAACCTTCTGCCGATGAAATGAAAATCTGGACTCAGATTCAAGTTAATGCCGATGTCAAAACCAAATGTTGGTTTTAAAAAAAACCCAACCCAGTGGAAATCCAAGATCATTTCACTAAAACAGCTTTCAGTGGTGACCCTGTGTCATGATTACAATTTCTATTAAGTCGGACTTCCCGGGCAGCTTACAATACTGCCATTAGAAAATGAAATTCTTAAAAAACTGTATTAAAACAAACGCAAGAAAAATGCACCTTCCTAGAAATGGCACGAGGGCAGATGATGGGATGTAGAAAAATAAGATGGTAGGAATCAGATGTGAGTCAGAGAGAATTCTCGACCACTTCACTGTGTTCTAAAGCAATTCTCTCCTCAATAAACCCACCCTGTGATATTTCCTGGGAGGACACTTGCACATTTTAATTAAAAGCCGCTCCAGCGCAAATGGAGCAAATTGCACCCAGAAAAATATTGAGCCACTTCCTAGACTTCTGAGGAAGTGAAACCGGAGGAAAAACAAGCCTTTGCCCTAGAATGCAGCCGCTCATGTCTCGTTTCACTGCAGAGCTTCTGCAGGCAGGAGGAAGCAGCTGAAAACTTGGGATTGCTCCGATTTGGTTAGATCGTTCTCTACCTCCCTCTTCACAAGATTAAGAACACGCAGCCTGGCGAGTGCCCGGGCTTTGAAAACACCTATGCATGCATTCCCTCCTTCTTTGTGAAACATCCAGGCCCGCACATAAACAAGATCAGAAAAAGAAAGTTTCTCCCAGTTTAAGATCTGAGCCAGTTTCAACTCTTCCGAGACACTAGAAACCCTAGTAAGGTGAAAACGGACTCTTCCGCCCCGGGAACCCAGAAAGCTGCCATAAGATGTTCTCCAGATGTTCTTAACAAGGAAGGGCTTCTCTGTGCAGGAAGTTTTTAAAAGAAACATGTTGAGGACTGCATTTTCGACTTCTGGCATGCAATCCAGATTTTTTTACTGCAGCATGACTAGTCTCTTACCCGTTTAGACAGCTGGAACAAGCATGAGGAAGCCCTGGATGTTTGGGAAGAATACCTCCTTTTCTGGGAGGTAGCAAGAACACTTTCCCTGAGACCACTGACAAAGCTGGCCCGACCATGTACAACTGCAAGTTCCAACAGACTCTGGCTCCAAACTCTTTAAACCCAAACCAAGCAGAATTCGTTCGTCCCACAACCGATCCATATAAGAGAACAGGATTACAAGTGTTTCCCTGTTCCTCTGCTCTTGGTCTCCTTTTGCCTTCCTCATCCTTTCTGGATTGTGCCTTTCTTAACTGCAAGACTGAGAGCTAGTTCTCTTGGTTTTGCCACGACTCTAAGCTGGTATGGGAACCTCTCTCTCCATCCGAATGGCAGGGCTAAATGATTCAAATAATAAAGAATTCAGCAGTCACTTGCTTCGGGCTGGGGACACCAGTTTTCTAACAAGGGGAACTCACTGGATGCATTACAGTTGGACTGCTGTATCCACGGGTGGGCAGTTCCAAGCCCATCACTCACAGATGCCGAAAACCATGGATAATAGCAAACCGGGGTGGGCAGCTCCAAGCACCTCGCTCACAGATGTCGAAAACCGTGAATAGCAAAGCCTCTATAATATAATACTAGGATCCTCAATGTGGTGTAGTGCACTGGTTCTTAACCCTATAACACTAGGATCCTCAATGTGGTGTAGTGCACTGGTTCTTAACCTTGGGTTACTCAGGAGTTTTGGACTGCAACTCCCAGAAGCCTTCAGCACCAACTGTGCTGGCTGGGGTTTCTGGGAGTTGCAGTTCAAAAGCATCCGAGTAACAAAGGTTAAGAACCACTGGATAGAGTGATGGAGAATCCAGGTGAGCAGGGTTAGAATCCTTGCTCTGCCATGGAAACGGCAGGTTACTCACCTGTAATTATGGTTCTTCGAGTTGGAGTATCCAAGTGAGCAGGGTTAGAATCCTTACTCTGCCATGGAAATGGCAGATTACTCACCTGTAATTATGGTTCTTCGAGTGTACCTCTGTGATTCAGATTGTGGGTGATCCGCACCTGCGCGGAGTCTCTTTGGAATATTCTAGATTCCGCCAGGCGACCTCTGTGATTCAAGACTGTGGGTGATCCGCACCTGCACGGAGCCTCTTTGGAATATTCTAGATTCCGCCAGGCTCCGCGCAGGCGCAGATCACCCACAGTGCGATTCACAGAGGCCACGAAGGACCTCACAGAGGGAATGGAACTGGCAATACCACTCCTTAAATATCTCACCTTTAAAACCCTATTAGGGTCATTATAAATGGATTCTGACATTGTGGAAATACATATAAATACGCATTGGGGTCATTATAAATGGATTCTGACTTGAGCGCACAGAACACACACACATATATAAAACATTGTCTCTGGCTCCCTCTCGTGGCCAGTTCTGGTGATTACATTGTGGAAATACATATAAATACGCATTTCTGGGTTTTTTAATTTCGTATTTTCAGACCATGGATAAGTGACGCTACGGATACAGCTTTTGTGGATACAGGGGTCTGCACCCCATTCATGAAGTGCAAGCCACGACTGAAGTATCATATCGTACTAGACACTTTGTTGATAGGAAAAATACTTAAGCCCTCTCCATCTATCTCCATCCTGTAAACAGAAGATCTAAATTTGCCAGGAAGAAGTTCTGTGATATGAAGCAAGCTTGTTTATGAATATGGTGTGTGTGTGTGTGGGGGGGAGGGAATACCCAGAGAGTTCCATTAGCAGCCTAGCTGGACTTTCAGAATAGGTACCTCTATATCATAGCACTCTCACCTGGAGTTTTTCTTGGGCGAGGCAATAAAGGCACAGATCACACGTATGTTTTAGCACTTGAAGAGCATGGATTGTTTTATTTGGTTGGGAGGCTAGAGAGGCTTTTAGCAAGACGAGGGCTAAAAGATGCATGGCGCGTCCTGTGCGGCTGCAGCATGATGCCCGGCGAGTGCGCAACCACCCGTGGGCAGATGCACCTACCACCTGTCAACGTTTGTACATTATACACAGGGCAAGAAAAGAAGAAGATAAGCACGGGGCTGTGGAGAAGAGGGCCACATCAGCAGAGGGAGATGGCAGGACTTTACACACACGCACAGACAACGCAGCAAGATCTCCCGTTCCTCTCTGGCTTTCCTTTCTGACCCCTCTGTTCTCTGAAGCTGTCGAATGAAACCCAGCTAAACATACACACACACCCCTAGTTTTCCAGGCGCCCGGGTCACTTCCAGAATGGCGGCAGTTCAAAGGTCATCCCGTATCTCTGCTGTGTCGATTCCTTCCACTGACGAAGAGAAGGAGGCCTGCTTATGGGGGAGAGGAAGGGTGCCCTTAAAAATCACCGCCCCACCACCACAACCTTCTGGGATGGGAAGGAGAGAGGGAAGGAGGGCGGCCGGAAGTGCCCGGTGGGCTTCAGTTCTTCACGATGGTCTCGTAGGCTTGGAAAACATGCTGAGCGACTTCGGGAGCACGGCACTTCAGAGAAAGCTGCAGGGGGAGAAAAGGAGAGAGGAAGCCCAAAGTTAGGAATCCGGATGTCTACCACCCGGTAGCTGGGGGAAGCCCAAGTGGAGCCAATGGAAACCAGGAAAGGGGCACAAAAAGCCAAGAAAGGACACACGGAGGCACGCAGGCTCGTACCGTGAAGTTGGGATTTCCTGGCTGGATTCGTAGCTCGGCCAAGACCCAGATGCCGTTGGTCAGCTTGAGCGACTGGTAGAGCATGTCTTGGCCTTCCACGTTTCTCTTTGCAATGGTGAAAATATTGCTGCCTTGGAGCTTGCTGCTAACAGCGTCTACGGAAACGTGGAGAAAAAAGCCATCAACACTGCAACCCATAGTTTAATAGGGCAGTTTAGAAGAACTCTACAGAGATGCTACTTCCTCAAGAAGGAGCGTGCTTCGGTTGCAAAAACACCCAACACGATGTAAAGAGACACAGCTTCCAATTTAAAGAAAAACAGGTTTCTAGTTCTCATGCTTGTAGTTCAAAGCTCTGCGGGATAGGAAAGGCCACAGTCTCAGCCATACTCTTTGACCTGGCTCCAGGAGTAGCCAAAACAGAGTAAAATTATGCATAGTTATGCAGAGAGGCAGAATGAATACAGCCCACAGGATTTGCCTTAGAGCACGAAGTACACAAAATGACAATAACAATGAGCTGAATTTACACAGGACCGCATTTTGCTCACTACAGTGCAACCGACGGATTCTATAATGAAGGTTACAGAGGACTGCTTAGAATAAAGAAATTTATCTCCAAAAAGACAAACAAGAGTTCTCTAGACGGGGAAGACTGTAAGATTCAGCATGTCTATTGCAGATTTCATTTTGAGACAACCCCAGCTTGCTTGAAAAGTTGCCTGTAATAAAATAACGCTTCTAGTCCTTATGACTTTCCAGGAAACCTTGACAACACATGCACACAGTGTCTCTCCTTCATGTCATTTGTTGCCCGAAGCTTCTTTCTCTATTAACTCCCCACCACTACCTCCTTCAGACAGCAAGTCTTCAACCAAGGAAAACAGTACTTCGATTTCTGTTTACTTGGAACTTTGCTGGCTGGTCCACAAAAAGCGAGTGAGCAAGAGAGAGAGAGAGAGAGAGGTGATTTCTCTGTTTACTTGGAACTTTGCTGGCTAGTCCACAAAAGGCGAGAGAGAGAGAGAGAGAGAAAGAGAGAGATCTTGATGGACATTTCATTCCAAAGATACAAAAGGCACCACGTGGTGCTCTTCTACCTCCCAAATCAATGCCCTCGAACGTCACACAGATCTGGAATGGGAGTTAAGGTGTGCAAAAAGTCAATTGCTGCTTGACTACTCCCTGCAGGAAACTACATTTAAATCGGAGGAGCCAGATAGCAGCAGGCGGAAATGTTCCCCCCCCAACAGAAACTACAGTCCAGAATTTGTGCTGGAGCACGGGTTAACTGAAATCTAGATTTGAAAAAGAACGTCAAGAGGTCAAACCTTTGCTGAAGTATGACAAAGAAGCCTTCCTAGGGCATTTTTGTGGTCACTTTAGGAGAAAACGGTTTCTATTTAGGAGAAAAAGCTCATTTCTCTCTCTCTCTCTCTCTTTCAGACACAGACACCATTTTGGAAGGATTTTTTCCCCCTTCAAAAAAGGGAAAGCAGGGAACCACAGAAATCCATTTCTCTTCCAAAACAAAGGATGCCCCTAACGTATCTTAACACTTACTGTTCAAAACCATTTGGGGGGGAAAAAACCCAGCACCCTAGGAGCAGAAATGAACTTCCAGTTTCCAAATTGTCCTTCCGGGTCGTGGAGCCGAACCACAGAGGCCTGCCTCCTTGAAATGGAACCACATGTACGTGTAATGGACACATGCACGCGTGGAGCAGGTGGGTGCACAAACCCTCCGGCGGCATCCCCAGGTTCAAGACCATCTGTATGTTGGTAACGCTGAACTAGACAGGCGCCTTCCTCACCTGCACTAAGAGGGCAGTCCTTCACCTGGAACTGGGCTTCGTTCTCGTTGGGAATGTCCTTCCACGTGGCCAGGAACATCTGTCGTTCTGGAAGGAGAAAGAGAAGGAGGCGGAGGTCATTCAAAGGAGACGGAAGGAAGGTTCTGCTGCTACCCAACGAGGCCAACCACGTTCCTCTCCAAAGTGTTTGCACATCTAGCCCAGTACGGTCAAGAGAACAGCCGTTCTCCAGGCACAGGAAAGGAAGATCCGTTCCCTCTTACTTGGAGATGCCAGGGATCATGACGGTCATGGTAGCAGAGTGGTTAGCGGACTGGACTGTAATTTGGGTACCTGCGTTCAAATCCCCCAATTCACAAAAATAATCAGGGGGCTGTGGGCTGGCTTCACATACTCTCTCTCTCTCTGCCTGCTCTACATCACAAGGCTGTTGTGAGGGAAAGGAAGATCCGTTCCCTGTTACTTGGAGATGCCAGGGATCATGACGGTCATGGTAGCAGAGTGGTTAGCGGACTGGACTGGAACTTGGGTACCTGCGTTCAAATCCCCCAATTCACAAAAATAATCAGGGGGCTGTGGGCTGGCTTCACATACTCTCTCTCTCTCTGCCTGCTCTACATCACAAGGCTGTTGTGAGGATGAAATGCAGAAAACAGCCATATAGGCCACTAATCATGGTTGATGTGGACGAATCCTTCAACCATTATGGAGTGACAGACAAAAACAGGCCATATGCCCTTGTCTCTAAACAGCACAAGAGGAGATGCCTTCAACATGATGGTTTCCTTTTCTTCCACAGCAGTTCTCCGTTTTCCTTGCACAACACGAGTGGGAGCCAGCCCACGGCAGCCCATGCTAAGGAATCTGTTTGGCAAAGAACTCAAGACTGTTCTTCTCTCTCCTGTCCTAGATCTCGGTCCATCCGCCTGATTTACCAAACAAAGCAGCTCAGGGCAAAAGGCTGCTGGAAAAAAAAAGAAGGCTCCAGAGTTCAAGAGAAGCTTCTCCACCTCCTCCTTTTTCAGACCCAGGAGGATTTGGAGAGTTTGAGCGCCAGGAAAAAAAGACCCTTTTCCACGTTGCGCCGAGGACCCAACCAAGGAGTCGGTCCCCGCCGCCTCCCGCCCACGTTTCGGAGGGCACCCTCCCCAACTCGGCCTCCCGTGGCCCAGATCCTCAGCCACTCACCCATTTTCCCATCTTCTACAAAAAGAATGTGGAGCGGGTAAAGGGTGCTGAAGTAGAACACGTCAATGTTGTTTTTCACAGCCACCTGCGGTCCAAAGAAAGGGGGAAAGACAAGAGGGTGACGAGCCAGTCTATTTAAAAACGTGGAATTCCAGAGATGGATGAGATGGTGTTGCTTTAGAATAGAAGCAGATTTTATGAATATGCTTGCAGGTATCCTTTTTTTAAAAAAAGTTGAAATGTAAGCTGCACATAGTCCTGGACACAGTTTCCAAGCGGCGGGACGCGATCACTCCCCTTTGCTAGATTTTCGTCCCCTTCTTGTGCGCAGCAAAGGAAAAATAATTTAAATGGAAAGAGGGCAACGAGACGTTCTTGTAGGGCTGGCCCTGCCATTAGGACGATGAAGGGCTGAAGGACTGCATTTCTGTCCCGTCTTTCTCCTCTACTGAGGACTAGAGGCAGCGTACAAAAATATGTAAAACGCACAACTAAGTAAAAGCATACCAATTCAAATTTGAAATTCTAACATGCAAATATTTTTAAACGTGTGTGTGTATGTATGGGGGGGGGAGAACTGTGCAGTACAGTTACATACTCTGGGGAGCCTTAATTTCCTGCTTTCACGTATGGCAAAGGATGCACCCCCATCATCAGCGCTGCACCAAGAAATGGTGTTGCCTCCACAGAAGGTTCTCGTTTTTTTAAAAAAGGACTGAGAACACAAGCCGTGTCCCACAGTCTTGCGACAAGCAAAAGAATGCAGGCATCTGCCTTACAGCAGGTGGCTGTAGCCTAAAATCGTCCTGCTCTGACTGGCAGCTGCTCTCTTGGGGTTCCTCCATTAACTCACAACCCACAACTGTCATCGGGGAAGTCATGTCCTGAAATTTAGACCTCCCGGGGGCCCAGCCGAAGCTCTGAGCCGCAGCCCACCAGATGGCGTAAGAATCTGTCAATGCCCTTCTTGCCCAGCCAACTCCCTCGGCCCATCTACCGAGAGGGTTGTGCAGATTTCCTTTCTTGGATGACAATGACCAGAATTCCCCAGGTGCCGTAACTGCTTGCAGAATTCTGGAAGCTGGGGTCCAAAACCACAAACCTGTGCAACCTCTATACCAAACCCAGCATTGCAGGCACGGACTGGCAGCATCACACCCTCTCCAGGATTTATGATCAACTTTCTTCTGGCTCCGTCTGGAGAGGCCGAGACTGAAAAGGGGTGGGGTGGAAGGCTGAGCCAATCCCGAACTAGCTACCTGAGCCTGGGATCGAATTTAGGCGGGTGAGCAGAATCCTCACTGCAGCACTGCAATTTAACCGCCGCGCCACATTCTCCTCTCGCCTGTCTGGAATGGTTTTCCTACTCCACCCACTTCTCTCCTTCCTTCTCACGCCCACCCATAGTCTTGTTTTCTCTGTCTCTCCATCCTCCACTGTGTTTTCTCTTCTCCCTCCAAGCCTCTGCACTGTCTGTGCAAAGCCTCTGGAGCAATGAAGGGACACCGACCGGGTGACCTAGCTCTCTACGACACAAGGCGGGGCTTCCCTCGAGCCCAGGACCACCACCACCGCCAGCTGCTAACCCGATGCCCTGACCCCACCCAGGCTCACCTGGAGGTTATTGAGGGGGTCCATCTTCATGACCGAGCCCACCGTGTTCAGGGGAAGGGAGAGCTCCACGCTCTGGTTCGGCGCAAGAGGAGCATGGACCTGCAGGGGCGCAGCAGGAGCCAAGCCAAAGCTGAAGAGGAAACATCTAGTGAGGGTGGGGGACCAGCAGCAACGGGCCAGTGGCAAGAACTGGGACCGCTTATGGGGGGAAAAGAGATGGCTCTTCCTCTGGGTAAAAGATGTGGGCAACTGAGCTCAGATACCACCTTACGTATCTCTGACCCTGGGAAAGTGGGGATGGTGTTGCTTTAAACAGATGAGCTCAAAGAGGATAACTTCTCATCACAGGAGCTACACAAAAACCTCAAAGGGCATTGTTATATTCTAAAGGGTGGTTAAGCAGCAGCTCATAGTCACAGATCTGTATTGCAACCATACTGTATCAAATAAACACAGAAAAAACTCAATTTCACCGACACCTGGTCAGTGAAATTTTCTTCTTTCCACAAAAGGGAAAGAAAATGCTGGGATATCAACGTTTTTCTCTAAGGAGACAGAAAAAAGGCCGAGCACTTGTTGAAACAGTTGAGAAAACTTCAATCAGTATTTCACATAAAATGGAACCTTGCTTTCTTCCCGGCATGTTTTTCCAGCAATATTTTTAAGGGCGCCTACTGCATTTAATTTTTGCATTTTCAACTTCTAAGACACCATCAGGGATCCCCCCGCCCGTGCGTCTAATCGAGAAGTCAGACAGAACGTTATGCTAAGGAGAAAAGATGCTGAGCAAGGTGAATACCGACACAAACCAAATGAATTTTTTTTTACAACAGTCTACCTGACCTTAATGACTAGCTAGGAATTGACAACTGAACTGATTCAAAACTGAGACCCAACATCATAGGAATATATGAAACAAAGCCATACAGAGAAAAACGCCTTGTATTGAATCATTCTTTTAGTCCCTCCATGGTTTCGACCTGATTCTTTCCTCGTCTTACCCGAAGATGTCAGGGGTTGAAGCAGGGACTGTCTGCACACAAGCACTGATCTACTATTAAATGACTGACACACACACACACACACCCAAATTTTGACGCAACCTCCAGTTAATTGAGCACAAACAGGCTCCGGACGGAAGCCTCGCTTCTCCAACCTGCCAGCCTCTTCAGTCAACTTCTTAGAGGGCTCACTGTAAGCTCATCAAGGAAGCCACTCAGCACAGAATCAGGATCATCACGAGAGGCTAAGAAAAGAGGCTTGAGAAAAGGAGATGCAAAACGGGAGCAACAACTCCAACAGATTTACCTGTTCCGGTTGAACTGGATCGCAAAGTCGGACATGACCTGCAGAGCCTTGTTAGAGAGCGTGAGGTCCATGGACAGAGAGCCCACCTGCCGGCTGAACGTTCCCGAAATCTCCAGGCCTTTGGCCTTCACGGCGGGGAGCCAGACCTAAAACGGCACAAGGAGGGGGCGGCGGTGAAGATGCTCTCTAAGTTACTCTCTAAGTTACTCTCTAAGTTACTCTCTAAGATGCTCTCTAAGTTACTCTCTAAGTTACTCTCTAAGTTGCTCTCTAAGTTGCTCTCTAAGTTGCTCTCTAAGTTACTCTCTAAGATGCTCTCTAAGTTAGATGCTCTCTAAGTTAGAGTTGCTCTCTAAGTCTCAGGCCTTGCCGGGTAAAACGTTCACAGTGGCGACAAGTCTGGGGGATATGTGACTCCCCAAGACAAAATAAACAATAACGATGGCCGTCTGTAGAAGGGATCTTTTTAGAACAGGCGGCACAGCTTTTAAAAGTAACTTTAGGTGAAGAAGGTGCCTTGGAGGTCATAAAAGAAAAAAGGCGGGAAAGAAGCAGTCCAAGAAATAAGGGGGGGGGAAAAGGGGTAGGGGAGCGAGGGAAACCCCTCAGACACAGTCCAAAAACTCCCCTAATAATAAGATGAAGTAGAGTACTTCCCTTGAGCATGAAAAGCGGAGCCAAATCTCAGGAATCTTCCAGATCTTTCCAATATTTCACGGAGCTCTAGCTAGGAGACCTAACTGCAGCAGCGGAAAAAATGGAACTGAATGGCTGTTAGGGCGGGCGGACCATGAGGTCCTGGGGGGGCGGAGCCAAAAGTGTTACTTTAAGCTCTATTGCTTTCTTCCCGGCATGTTTTTCCAGCAATATTTTTAAGGGCGCCTACTGCATTTAATTTTTGCATTTTCAACTTCTAAGACACCATCAGGGATCTCCCCGTGCGTCTAATCGAGAAGTCAGAAGCAACGTTATGCTAAGGAGAAAAGATGCTGAGCAAGGTGAATACCGACACGAACCAAATGAATTTTTTTTTTACAACAGTCTACCTGACCTTAATGACTAGCTAGGAATTGACAACTGAACTGATTCAAAACTGAGACCCAACATCATAGGAATATATGAAACAAAGCCATACAGAGAAAAACGCCTTGTATTGAATCATTCTTTTAGTCCCTCCATGGTTTCGACCTGATTCTTTCCTCGTCTTACCCGAAGATGTCAGGGGTTGAAGCAGGGACTGTCTGCACACAAGCACTGATCTACTATTAAATGACTGACACACACACACATTTTGACGCAACCTCCAGTTAATTGAGCACAAACAGGCTACGGGTGGAAGCCTCGCTTCTTCTCCAACCTGCCAGCCTCTTCAGTCAACTTCTTAGAGGGCTCACTGTAAGCTCATCAAGGAAGCCACTCAGCACAGAATCGGGATCATCACGAGAGGCTAAGAAAAGAGGCTTGAGAAAAGGAGATGCAAAACGGGAGCAACAACTCCAACAGATTTACCTGTTCCGGTTGAACTGGATCGCAAAGTCGGACATGACCTGCAGAGCCTTGTTAGAGAGCGTGAGGTCCATGGACAGAGAGCCCACCTGCCGGCTGAACGTTCCCGAAATCTCCAGGCCTTTGGCCTTCACGGCGGGGAGCCAGACCTAAAACGGCACAAGGAGGTGGCGGCGGTGAAGATGATGAGGTTTTACAGGGGGCCCCTGCCCTGAAGATCTTGCAAGCCCACCGTAGGACCCAGAGAGAACAGAAGAAGGACGCCAGCTGTATTGTTGGGCGTTCGGCTCTCTGAGTCAGTGGCACACTGAATTCAATTGTGCTTCTGATTCATAATTATAATCCGTGATTTCTAGGGATTCCAGGTGCTTCAAAATCTCAAAGCATACGGTGTGGGTGGGGAGAGAGTTCTTCCCTTCCCCAGATTCCCTGATAAGGTAACTCTTGTGTCTAAAAGAAGCAGACGATGACCTGTGAAAAACCACACTGAAATAAAAACTGTTCTTCCTAGATGGGCCACATCTGGAGTTGGGATTCCCACAAGCACTCAAGGATTGGTGTGTCATTCTGTATATCTCAAGCTTTTAACGAAAGCTTTAGCCCAACTAAATTAAAAATTAATTCAAATCAGGCTTCCTCTGGAAAAAAAAGGACGAGAAGGCAAGGCCAGTGAGGAGATCTTGGCCAGGAAAAAGGTGCCACCCGCCACGGAGGTGCCCACGTGGAGCAGATAAAGAGAAGCTGGTCTTGCTATCTAGGAAACAGCGGTTCTCAGACTTGTAGTCATTGGGAGAGATCAGAGAGCCTTCCCTTGGAGGCAGCCGGGTTACTCACCGTTTTGGGAGCCACGTAGGATCCGGACAAGCTGCCCACACCGCCCGCGAGGTCGAAAAGGTCTCCCAAGCCGCCTCCTCCTCCTCCTCCGAGGGGCGCCCCCAAGTTGGAGGGCATGACGGCGCTGGGGGCCGTGAAGCTGGGGCCTCCCATCTGCAGGAGAGACGAGGAGGACACCAGGCGGTCAGCAAGGATCCCAGCCATCAAAGGAAGAGGGTCTAAGGGAGGGGGCGGGCTGGGGGTTTGCAGAGCAGAGAGACACGCAACAGGGCATCCTATCAGCCTAATCAACGGCAATGGAAGGAACAGTGCTTCCCATTGGCTGGCGGGTCCCCACCGTGTGACTAAAAAAACCCAGAAGCCTTTTCACCACTAGCTCTGCTGGCCCAGGGTTGATAGGGAGTTGAGAGTCTTGGTTGGGAACCAGTGCCGTAAGCCATACGTAGAGGAGTCCCAAGATGGCAACTTTGGGGGGGGAGGGGAACAGCCTAAAACTGGCCTTGAGAAACTCCCAGAGGCTGGGGTTGTCCGTTTAAAAGCTACTATACCTGTTTTAGGCTCAAAATAACCTTTACTCAACCCAGAAACAACCAGAAGTTCTGATTTAGGGGGAAAAATTGGAAAGGATGCAACCCTATGTGCGAGAAGGGCGGGCGTCAAACTTGGAGGCTGCCCGCCTTTGTATGGGGGGGGTGCAAGCCAGGTCCCTGGAGGCCCCCCCCATCACCTTTATGTGTACATTTCCGTAATCGGGGAAGACCCATCAATAGGCTTGCGCTTCTCTTGCAGGGCGGCACAGGGCCTTCATCCAGGGCCTTGCAAGGAGGACCTTAAAAGGGGGGGTTGGGATTCAGAGCAACATCAAGAGTCTGTAACAGACTCAGCTGCGTCGGCCGGCGTAGCTACCCTGGGCCATGGCTAGGCCAAGGAACACGGCCGAGAGGATGGGCGGCTCAAGGATGGAGACGGGCAGAGCACCTCCTTCCCCATTTCAGAGTCCGTCCCCCTGATGCAGACCGGGGTAGACCAAAGAAGCCAGTTCACCTACAGTCCACCCCTCGCTCCCTCTCTTTCTCAAGAGCCAAACAGACCGCAGTCATAACCTGTGACAGAAGGAAGCCACTTTTGGAAGCCTTCCTGTTACCTTCTAAGGTGGGTACACTTTCAGAAGACGGCTATGAACACCAGGCAGGGAGGGGGCCTTCCTGTTTTATTTTTGCTTTTACCCCCTTTCAACTAGCAGCAATCCTCAGGAATTTCTCTGCTAGCGTTCTGGTATCTTTAAGACAAAAAAAGAGAAGTCTACATTCTCAGAGGAGTTTCAGGGTACACATCCTGTTCTTCGCCACGGCTCTTTTTGCAGCAACGGCCATTAACCCAGGAGAAGAGAACAGGCAGTTTTCTAAGCTCCATGGCAACTACAAGGGGTCTGTAGTTTGTTTTTAATACCCTTTACAGAGCCCAATGACCAGAGAGACTACCATCCCTTAATGCTTTGCAGTTGCCATGGAGCTTAGAAAGCTCTATGTCTGTCTCTGCATGTTTAATGGACATTGCTAAAGAGAGCACTATGGCAAACAACAGATGGTATCTCGACTTTCCTCTCAGATCTTTGGATTTTTTTGTCTGAAGCTACTAAAATTCTAGTTAGAGGAATTCCTGGTGAATTCTGTTAAGGGCAGTGGGAAAAAAAGGGGAAATTCACACCTAATGAGGACAAACTTTATGCAGGAGATGCAAGTAATAGCTCTTTTGTTCCCCCAACAGCTCTTTTCCTACCTGAATTTGCCCCGTCTAAAAGGGTGAACACAGCTATCTCTCCTGGAAGCAAGTTCCATAAAGTGAAATTATGTGATTGGTCTTTGCTGACCTGTTTTGAATAAGTTTCACTGAATGATTGTCAGAAAGAGTATTAGGAGGGAGGGGGGAAAGCCCTCTCTCTGAATTGGCTTTTTTACTGCTGGGAAGGAAGGCAACTGGCATCCTTTGGCATCTGCCAGGATTAGACAGGGCAAAGAGGGCAAGGGAAAGGGGTGTGGTTTGCTGACAAGTAGGCACAATCTTGAAAACTAGAAAGAGGGTTTGAACCCTACCCCTTCGGATTCGTCCCCCATCTCCGAGCAGAAGCGGGCAAGAAGGTGGAGAGAAGAGCCAGCCGCATGCAGAGAGAGAGAGAGAAGCCAGGAAAGGGTTTGAAAAAAACAGAAAGAAGGGGAGACAAACAGAAAAGAAGGAATGGAAAAGAGGTTAGTCAGACTCAAAACATACACGGTTGCTAGACGCCACACGACAACTGCGACAATTGTTTACCAGGAGAAAAAAAGCTCGGCAGTTTAGGTTGGGTCAGTTCCAGCTGGCCTCTCCAATCCAGAGATGGCCAGCTTGCAGGAAAGCCAACACATACATAATTACTAACCCACTGTCCACAAATAACTAACGGACTGCAGGTGCACTGGAGAGGAAAACAAAGCTTGTTGTGTTTCTATCTTTTTTAACAAAAAACACCTTCAATTATATTCATACATATTCATAGTCTTAGCATACAAAGGCAGCCTAAGACAGACAGACAGACAGACAGACCCACGAAAGAACCAATAGCAACAGCACACAGTAGTTGTAATTGCCTCTGATTTGCTGTCTGGGGGGTATTAGGTAAAGGTAAAGGTTCCCCTTGACAATTTTTGTCCAGTCGTGTTCGACTCTAGGGGGCGGTGTTCATCCCCGTTTCGAAGCCATAGAGCCAGCGTTTTGTCTGGAGATAATCTTCCGTGGTCACATGGCCAGCGTGACTTAGACACGGAATGCTGTTACCTTCCCACCAAGGTGGTCCCTATTGATCTACTCGCATTTTTACATGCTTTCAAACCGCTAGGTTGGCGGGAGCTGGGACAAGCGATGGGCACTCACCCCATCGCGTGGATTCAATCTTACGACGGCTGGTCTTCTGACCCTGCAGCACACAAAGGCTTCTGCGGTTTAGCCCGCAGCGCCACCCACGTCCCTATTCTGGGGGGTATTAAAAGTACCCAGTTCATTGCAGCTCTCCTGAATGCTGGACATCCTCAGGAGTCCAGGAGGAAGCAAAGAGCACAAAAATATTATTTTTTATATTCTCTGCTGGAGAAGTTAAGCTTTCATGAAGCCTCAAGTTCCTTGTCGATATTTATTATTTAAAGTATTTTTTAGTTTCAGAAACCAGGAAGGGCGGCTTAAGTGAACCTCGGAGTTTAGGAGTCAAGACCTTCATTTTCTTTTGACCACAAAGCCGGAATTATGTAGAGAGCTTTCTTGAACTAAACTGTTCTTGATCTGAACTAGAACTGAAGCTCTGGGACCGTGAGACAAAATGTTTTCCAGACAGTACACATAACCCTAAACATGACAACTGAACCCCCTTCCCTAAAAACAGTGGTTTTCCCAGACTCAGAGATAAACAGTAGGACACTGTATCTGTGGGGGGGGGCAGTTTCAAGCCCCCTCCCCATGGATGGTGAAAAACGCAGATTATAGCAAACACTATTTTCATGGCGAGCATGGTTCTGGCCCCCTCTCGTGGCTAGAATACACTTCTCCCTTGAACCTCTATAAATAGCAGGCTCTCTGGCTCCCTTTAGTGGCCAGTTCTGTAACTTCATCTTCAGAAATATGGATTTTTCTTTTAATATTTCAATATTTTCCGGCTATAGATAAGTGAATCAGGAGATACTGATCCTGCAGATACAGAGGCCTATCTGTTCAGGGCAAAAGGTCTTTCCGCAGATGCACGCTGTAGGTTCCCCCCCCCCTTTGACAGCTGACCTGTGAGGAAGTCCTCGCCCAGCACGGGCAGCCAGTGGAGTCATGGCGAGCATGGTTCTGGCTCCCTCTCGTGGCTAGTTCTGGTAATGACATCATAGAAATACACTTCTCCCTTGAACCTCTATAAATTGCATGTTCTCTGCCACCCTCTAGCGGCCAGTTCTGCTAACGTCATCATTGCAACCCGCATGGAAGCAGCTTTTCTCCTGCGTGGCTACCCGTTATGCAACCATTGCCTAATGTTGCTATGACCGGGAACAGGGTGGATATATTTCTTCCAAGTGTCTAAAAGACACTGTATTTACTTATCATTATTTTTGAATGGCTTTTATAAGTGAATCAGGAGATACTGATCCTGCGGATACAGAGGCCTATCTGTTCAGGGCGAAAAGTCTTTCCGCAGATGCACGCTGTAGGATTCCCACCTCCCTCTGACGGCCGACCTGTGAGGAGGTCCTCGCCCAGCACGGGCAGCCAGTGGAGGGAGGGGTGGTTTGCAAACCTGACTGGTCAAAACTGGAACCAAGCACGACGTGCGGAACAAGTGGCACATACGTAGCCTTCTTCCACCATCAACCCCTTCCTTCCATGGGTTGGCCAATGGCTATCCTGACTCAATTCAAGGTGCCGCCTGCAACCCGCATGGAAGCGGCTTTTCTCCTGCCTGGCTACCCAACATGCAACCATTGCCTAGAGTTGCTGTGACCGGGAACAGAGTGAATATATTTCTTCCAAGTGTCTTTTAAACTGCATTTACTTATCATTATTTTTGAATGGCTTTAAGTGACTTAGGTGTTAAGAACCAACACATCTGGCTACCTGGGATAGAAGGGTCACGAGCAGAGTTTTGACTGCAGTACTGCAGTTTAATCAGGGTGCCAAAAGGCACGAGAAAACGATTTCAAGCTTCTAGCCCTTTTTGCTGTACACATCACCCACCCACCCGTCATCTAAGAACCTCAATAGAATATCAACGTGCACTGAAATAACACACTCTCCCCCCACTGTCTCCCTGGTGCTTCCTTGCGGCTGTTTCTCACGACTGTAAAAGGCTCGGGGCAGAAAGCTGTCAAAGCCTCCTGCCCACTGGCGGTGCTATAAATCTATCCACCACTTCATGTGCTTTTTGGAGGAGCATTCCAAATCAACAAGGATGTACAGCTTGGTGTCCTCTAGATATTTTGGACTACAATTCCCCTAAGTCCCAACTAGCTGGGAGCAATGGTCAGGAGGTGGTGAGCTTTCCAGCACTAGAGGCATTCAAGAAAAAGCAGGACAACCCTCTTTCAGGTATACTTTAATTTGGATTCCTGCACTGAGCTAGGGATTGGCTTCAATGGCCTTATAGACTCCATCAGTCTATGAGTTATGGTTCAAAAACACCAGGACACCTAACTGGCTTGCTATTTCTGTTCTTGCTCCCTCATCCCAGCTGACACTTCTGGGATATCAGCCTGTCCTGGGGTAGGAAATTAACCCCCATAAGCCAGCTCATTCCTGCTCTACAGAGAAAGGCAGCTTTCTTCCAGAGCCACTATTTTATCTACGTGCAAACTCATCCATGTTTTATCTATATTAACTGATTAAAATGAGGTTTCCCAAACTTGGTGTCCCCTGGGTGTTCTTGGACTACAATTCCCAGAAACCCCAGCCAGCACAGCTGGTGGCGAATGAAGGCTTCTGGGAGTTGCAGTCCAAGAATGCCTGGGTGACCCAAGGAGGAGGGAGAACCACTCGATTAAAAGATTTCATAAAAGCTGACTCGGTTCCCCAAAAGGCAACCCAGACTCTCCCTCGTTTGACAACCTTTTGCAGGCCGGACAGGTTGACACCTGGCCTTCCACGCTTCTCTGCCAGGACCACCTCCTTGGCGGCCACGGGGTCGGTGGAGAGCAGGCGCCAGTAGATGTAGCCGCGGTCCCTCAAATCCGGATTGTCCGAATCCTACGGGGCAGGAGGCGAAAAGAAAGCCCTGCCGGTTTTACAGGAGGAAGGTCTTGCGAGGCCCTTGTGGGTCATCAAGACAGCGAACGCTGGAGGTTCTCTTTCAAACAAACAAACAAACAAGGGCACGTGGGAAGAAACTGGCTGTTCACCGTAACACCTGCCCCAAATTGTGGGAAGGCACAGAATCCAGCATTCTGATCAGAATTCAGTATCGAAGCAAATGTTAAAAGCCAAGTATGCTGCTTATATACCGTCCCAGCGTGCTTAAAGCTCCCTCTGGGCAGTATACAATTTAATTCTGCAGGTGTCAAATTGTCGTTGTCCCCAGCAAACGGGGTCCTCGATTTATCGACCTTAGAAGGAGGGAAGGCTGAATGAACGTCAAGCTGGCTACCTGGGATTGAACCCAGGTCACAAGCAGAGTTTGGACTGCAGTACTGAAGTTTAACCAGGGTGCCGAAAGGCACGAGGAAACAATCTCAAGATTCTAGCCTTTTTCTGCTGTACACCCCACCCACCCAAGAAACCTCTGAGATTCTACTGAGATTCTTAGGTTCATCTAAGAACCTCGGTAGAATCTCAGAGGAAGCCTTCCTGTAATGAGGGTGGACTTTTAGCCATAACAGCTGTTTGGTCCGCTCGCTTGTGCATGGAGACTAGAGACACACAGATTGGTTTGAGAAAGGGAAGGAATCACCCCCTTCCCTGCCTGAGCAACCATCTCTCTTGCTCTGGAAAGCCCCCGACAAGCAAGCCCAAGGTCAATTAAAACAACGAGTTTTCCTATGACCCATATGGTCAATTGTTTGGTTTGCTGCCTTCTTATATCTTAGTACGTATTTTTGGGTTTGTTTTTTCTTGCTTAATGTTTTCTTGCTTGTTGTTATTATTGAATTTTAGTTCATGCTGCTGATGCTCCCATTGTAAGCTGCCGAGAGTAGTGGCCTGGCCACTATGTGGGGTGGGGAGAGAGAGGGAGGGAGGAAGGAAGGAAGGAAGGAAGATGGGCTCTTCCAGATCATCCTTCAGCTTAAAACCATCTCACACTTTTATTTGAGTACTTGGGCACTAGGGGTTACTGTAGCATCAAGGTGAGAGTGCTGGATCCAAACAGAAGCAGGGGGAGAAAGAAGAAGCAGATCTGTAGCCCTGCCGCATCTCAGGTTCAGTGAAAGACCTTGCATCAGCTCCTCCAACTCCCTGCCTACCTTGCAGGGCTGCTGAGAGAAAAGATACGGGCCCTCTTGCAACCTATATTGCTCTGAGCTCCTCTGGGAATGGGATGAGGTTTTTAGAAGAGAGTCAATGGTTCATCTAGCAAGAATTAGCGCTCGCCTGCTTGTAAAAGCTTAAAAGGCTCTAATTCACTCTGGGGATTTAGATTTTAGTTTTTTCCTCCACCACGAACCTCACTATGAATGACTTTGGTAGAGTCTACTTCACAAAGCTCTTGGGAGGATAAGGCAGGAGGGGAGAAAGAAAAGAGATGCAAACCCCCACCCAGTTCGCTGGAAAGAGGGGAGAAGAAACAAAAAAAAAGGGGGGGGGATAACCATAATAATTGCAATGACGCCTCATCCACCTGAGTAGCCAAGCTAAGGACTTGTTGCACCAGCTCCTGGGTCTCGGTGGGTTTCTTCAAGAAGAGCTTCACGATGGCCGTCAGGAGCTGCAGCTGCACCTGCAACCCAGAGCAGAAAAGACCAGAGGTTACGGGGACCCTTAGCTCATGGCCATAACGCACAATTCTCGGGTGACGCAAGAGAAGCCGAAAGGGGGAGAGAGAGAAGCCAGCCAGGGTCCACCCTGCTGCACAAAGTGATGTGAGGGTCTGGCGGTGCCTTACACACTGGGAGACTCTCCCCGAGGGTGCGATGCCTCCTCCTTGCACGTGAGGTCTTCCCTTCTCAAAAACACATAGTGAGCCTGCAATCTGCCACAAATGGACTTCACACCACAGTCCAATTCTGCCCTTACCGATAAAAAAAACCAGGGTTCCCTTAGAACCAAATTTTGCTTTCCCCCAAAAATATGAAGGGAAGTGCCTCTGAAAAATCTTTGTTTACTACACGCAAGTCAAAACATGGTGAGCTGGATCTCAATCCATTTAGGGGCACCAGAAAGTTCTCTGGAAATGATTTGCAGTTCAGGATTTCCAGATAACAAGCTCCGTGGGTGGTGAATAAACTTGTTATTTCTGGTGAATCATGTTTCCCGCATGGCGAAAACCCTAGCACACTTTCCTACTTCGGACGCGATAAAGACGGCTCGTGCCACCAAGTGGAAACCAAGGAACTGAGTAACTCCTGCTCGTGCTAAGTTCCGCTCCTCTGGCAGGTAGGATTTAAATCCGACGACATTTCTGCCTCTTGCAACTCCCTGGCAGGACGGGGCCGACAGCCCCCTCAAGCGGGTTGGCAAGACCACGAGAGGAGAGGTGCTATTGGAAAATGCTCTGCAACACCCCCCCCAAATGCTTCCTAGAATGACCAGGAAAAGGAGCAACACAATGGTCGGCTTTGGGCCAAGACTGTGTCTTCGCCCCCTTCATCATCTGCGCTTGAAAAAAGTTCTTTTTCTTTGTAACTAGAAGGCCCCCAGCCAGCACGACCACTCCGCTCTGGGTCCAAAGAACAGAACTTTCCAATGTTTGGGGTCTTTGCTGCCTAACCCCTAGTCCCCCTCCACTCCCACCCCCTCGGCCACCTGGGTGCTTTCATCGTGGAACCCTTCCAGGAAGCTCTCCAGCAGCTCGTCCGCGTTGTCGATCCGCTCTGCGTATTCTCCCACGATCCAGATCATGGCCGCCCTGGCCTCGGGCTCATCGAGGGAATCCAGGTTCTCACACAAGGTGGCGATCACGCTCTCGTACCTGAGCACGGAGGGCAAGGGAGAGAAAGACAGTAAGGTGGGGAGACAAACCGCTCACAAGCCGGCCACTCTCCCAAAAAGGGATCTCCAAAGGCCATCTGGCAGGGGAAGAGGGACCAGGAGACAAGGATCTAGTGGTCTCATGGGATCCCAGGGGCATCGGGTGGAGGCCACGGTGAGAGATACAGGGAGCTGGATTAGAGGGGCCCTCGGCCTGATCCAGCACAGGGCTCTTTGGATGGTGTTACGAAAGCTAAGATGTGTTCTTGGGTGCGTTGGGACGCAAATGTTTCTAAAAGGGATGCCAGATCTTGGATCCCTCGACCCTGGAGGCCACCTATGGCGACCAAGGCTAATAGCGGTCATAAGCTGTAACTTTCATCAGTGTTTATGAGAAGATCCCTCCTCACGGCAACTTTGAAACACAACAATATACATGAGAATTTAGCAATTATATAAATATAATAGCCAGTGCATTTTCTTATGTATAGAGCAGCTGAAGTTACAGGATGGGACAGGGCCATTGTTTTAAAGCTTAAGACATCACGTGTTTGGTGAGGAAGACAATCAAACAATAAATTTAGACCTCTGACTTTCCTGAAATATATCACTCAAAATGCCCAAAGCATTGTTTTCCTGCTTTTGAAAGGAATCCGGAAACATTTGTTCAAATACACGAGGTTTGAAAATTCTCCCGTCAAGATATATGTACAGTGGTGCCTCGCACAACGGGCGCCTCGTAGAGTGATGAATTCGCTCTACGAGGCCGGTTTTGCGATCGCAAAACGGTGCCCGCATAGGGCAAAAATCGCAGGGTGAAGGTTGGTAAGCGGTTCGCTTACCGACCTTCGCTTTGCGACCCGCCGATCAGCTGTTAGGCGGCTTCAAAATGGCCGCGCACAGCGTTTTCGCGCCCTCGTTAAGCGAGGGGAGGGCGCGAAAATGGCTGCCGGCCATCGGAGAAACATCGCTGTACGGTGAGTAAAGCTGCTATTGGAACGCATTAAACTAAGTTTAATGCGTTCTAATGGCTTTTTTTGATCCGTACAGCGATGTTTTCCTTTCCTGCTTTTGAAAGGAATCCGGAAATATTTGTTCAAATACATGAGGTTTGAAAATTCCCCCCTCAAGATATATATATTTAGCTTCACCACTCAGCAGAACGGTCAAACGCTGTGCTATCCCAATGATGCACTCAATTTTTTTAACTCAAATTCCTAGGTTCGAGAATTCATTCAGTCTCAGTGTCCACTTTTGTTACAGGCTCTGGATGGTGTATCTCAGGGTTCTACAGAGAAAACCAAAGTAGAGGCCCCCCACCCCAAGCCTGACATTTTTTAACAATCCAGCAAAGAGAAGTCTCTACTACTGTTAGGGACAGGATTTTTTTGAGAATAAATCCCATAAATCTCCACTCTGCAAGTTCTACTTGACAAAACCACTATAGAGACTTAAATTTGGCTCACCTTGGAGAAAGGCCTAAAGTAGGAGGGTTTCAGGCAGAGCTAGGCCTAGCTCTGCCCAAGCTTCCTGATCCTCTTCTGGTGCTGTATAGCTGGGGCAGAGCTTCCTGTCTGCGCAGGAAGTTTGGACAGAGCTAGGCCTAGCTACGTCTTAAAGAATTTCTCCCAAGTGAACTGCATTTAGGTTCTCTGTCAGCTATAGCTCCCACAAGGGATAATTGTGGGATTTGTAATTTTTTTAAAAAATCCTTAATTGCTGTTATCATTGCAATGTCATGAAAACACTGGTGGGAGGGGGCAGCAAGCAGAATCTGAGAGAGTAACAGCTTGTTTAGAGCCCTGCGTGAGTTCCAAAAGAAGATTTAAACTGGGGGCTTCCCAGTTCACATGCTGGAAAAAGCGAAGACAGCCACTCAGCAAACCCATTTCCGTACTTGTTGGGGTATTTGCGGAAAATGTCCTTGATGACAACAATGGCTTCCTGCACCACGTAGTTGACCTTGGTCTGGATGAGGTCGAGCAGAGTGCTCACGCAGCGCTCTGCGGATTGCTGGGAGAAAGGAAAAGAGGGGAGGAAAGCCGTTAGAAATCACGAGAGAGGCGCTAGGTTCAGCCAAGGGTCTTATGGACACGGCGGATGCTCGCTGAACGGAGGAGATAAAGAGCATCGGGACTCTCTCGGCAGGAAAGGAGAGGATCAGCCCTAGGAGGAGTTTTCTGGCTGCCTCACCTGAGGCGAAAAGCACGGGAGAGTCGGAAACAGCCTTTGGCACAAGAGAGAAAACCAGCGGTTGAGGGCCGCCAGCAATACCCTTCAGCCGCAAGATATTTTCTGGGCTGCTCCTTCAAAACCTGACTCCTGCCAACAGAGTCACCGATTTCCTATATAGCTCTGCTGGAAAGGCAGTCGAAGAAGACTGCTTTTTAAGGTCTCCGCCCCCAACAGCCCTCCCATTTCCTCTCCAGCAGAGAACACATAATGGCCACTCCTGCAAATGTCCTGGATCTGCAATTTACCATTTCAGTGGGTCACAGCCTGCCTTCCCCTGCACTGCTGAGTACAGCAAAAAAAAATCAATTTCCTAAACCTGGAAAAGGAATTCCAGCCTCTTCCAGATGTTGTTGTTCTTGTTTTCAGCATTTTCAAAAGAAAAAGTAGACTTATAAACCGTCCCATAGTGCTTAAAGCACTCTCTGAGTGGTTTACCATTTAATTATGCAGGGCTACACATTCCCCCCCCCTGCAGGTTGGGTACTCAATTTACCAACTTCGGAAGGATGGAAGGCTGAGTTAACCTCAAGTCACCTACCTAGGGTTGAACCCCAGGTTGTGAGCAGAGGAAGGGAAGGGTAAACCACTGATCTACCGGGAAAACCCTGAAAAAGGATTACCATAAATCACAACTGACTTGATGGCACACGATTATTATTATTTTTAGAAGTAAGTTAACTAACAATTTGCTGCTCGTTCAAGAATTTTTATGTTAGGGCTGGCCTGATGTATCAACAGATCACTAATCAGTTTAAAAGCAGAATCCTGGGTTTCAAACTGGATTCATTCTTGTCTCCTCTATTAATATTATTGTTTTTAAGTTGATGATGCAGAGGAATTGAACCTGGGTGTTTCTGTTAACAAGGTGTGAAGGAAATAACATGCTCTCCCCGAGATAATGTCAAACTGTCCAAACAAGTGTTAGGAAAGGGTCCAAGAAAAACCAGCTGTGTTCTCAGTGCACAAACGCTGTGCCAAAAAAACCACAGATCTGCCTGTTTTTGTCTGAGAGCTGGCCAGCGTTCTTGGGGAAAACCCCAAGTTCATTTTGGACTGCATATACATTCAGACATGCCTTCCACCCCAGAGGAGACTCACCTCCACCTTAATGGCACACCGTCCGATGGCTCGGACCGCCTTCCGAACGAAGTCAACATCCACTTCGGTTGCATATTCCTTTAACTCTGCAAGCACCTGTTACGGATCATCAAGGGGGCAGGGGCAGAAAAGGAGTAGACAGGTCTGCGTTTAGTACACCTATGGGGCCCACCTGTCTTTCTCTCCCATACTGGGATCCGGTGGGGAACACCGGTCGAAACTGGAAGGGGGGGGAACCAAGGCTGCTTGAACATAAGAAGAAAGCTTTAGCGGCTGTCTTTCTCTCCCATACTGGGATCCAGTCGAAAATGGAAGGGGGGGGAACCAAGGCTGCTTGAACATAAGAAGAAAGCTTTAGCGAGTTCATGGAGAGGGGGTGGACTCGATGATCCATAGGGTCCCTTCCAGCTCTGCAGTTCTACGATGATGGCATGGGAGGGGGATTTCTATGACATGTCACCTTTTCTCTGCAACCTACATTTGAACCCATAAGCAAGTTCAAACATGTTTATGAGTAATCTGGCCTTTCTCACCAGATTACTTCATAAACACGTTCAAAACCTACCCATGAGCCAAAACATAGGTTGCAGAAAAAAATACGACACATCATAGAAATCCTTCCCTTGAAACGGTGAATGTTCACAGCAATAGGAAGAAAAATTTCCAAGACCTCCACAGGACCCAAAAGGCTGCCAAACAGCCCAGTGAGGAGACGGGACACTCAGAAGCCACAGGAAAGTTGTGGGTTGGGGGGGTTTTGAGGGATGGAAAGGTAAGTGGGGAGGGAGAGAGTGCAACGGCCCGTTGGGAAGACAGGGGTGGCTGGACCCCTGAGACAAAGCACCCCCCTTAGGAGTCAAGAATGGGCTGCCCCATCGTGCTGCAAAGCCCACTGTTGTATTACCCCAGCTGATGCCCTCTGGACTGCAGCTCCCAGCATCCCCAGCCAACATGGCAAATGGGAGCTGTAGTTCAGAACCTGTCGCAAGCACGAGGCTAGGGGAGGGTCCTCTGAAGGGGGCAGGGAGGGGGTGGCCCGCAGGAGGAAAAGGAGGAGGGAGAGGTTTGTCCGGAAGTGGCCTGCCTGCGCAATGTTGGCTTGGGAGGCCAGGCGGATCATGATGTCTAGCTTCTCCAGCTTGACGTAGATCGGGTCATTGTACTTGACAAAGAAGACTTTCATCTCATGCTTGAGGATTTCGGGCCTGGAGCCAGAAAAGATAAAAAGAAGATTTTTAAGCCAGAGGGAAGAGCCCAGATAAGAGGAAGCCTTTGTGATTTAGGTTGCTTTACTCTCCCACGATCTGCAGCTAGCCTGCTTGGCTGACGGTAGGAGGCAGAAGGAGAGCCAAACCAAACTCAAATTCACGGTGTATCCTATAGGGTGTCCTTCGTGCTTTGCACTAGAGGAGGAGAAGCCAAATTGAGGCTTGACCGTCATTCCCGTCAGCCCTTCGTCAGCCAAGCTGATGGTGAAGAACGATGGGAGACCCTCAGAGGGTCTCACGGTGTTTTTCTCACCAACATTACCCACACTGTAATTTATTTATTTATTAGATTTATACCCTGCACCATCTGGCAACCAGGCCACTCTGGGCGGCTAACAACAATATAAACAGCCATATTAAAACACGATGAGAAATAAAATAAGACATAGCCAACAGGATAAATTAAAACAGAGGGCAATAAAGGGGGTTAAATGGGTGATGGACAGGATGGCAAAAAGGATGGGAATGGGTGATATACAGGATGGCAAAAAGGGAGGCCGAGATCTTAATGCTCAGCGAAAGCAAAGTCTTCAATGCACGTTTGAACCCCCTCCAGCAAGGGTGCCAGGTGGATCTCCATGGGTAGGTTGTACCAAAGACGGGGGCAACCGCTGAGAAGGCCTGGTTTCTTGTTTAAAGACGGGGGGGCAACCGCTGAGAAGGCATGGTTCCTTCCAGATATAAATATACAAAGGAAATTGCTATTCATCTCCAGAGGATAATCCAAATGACACATGTGCTTCTTCTTCTAATGTGCCTTTACAATCATACCTTTTTGCTCTGTGAGGGAGCACTTCTTCTAGCAACAGACTGACCCCATGTGCTTGGGCCCTTGGGATGTCATTTTTGTATTACTGCATTTCAAAATGTCACACGGGGGCACTTTTGAATGAGTCTGTACCATAGCTGCAATCTGATTATCTACTTCCCGGCTGTCCCCCCCCTTACCTTCAAGCAAGGAATTACCTTTTCTGCACAATGAGGTTGATGTTTCGGAGGGCCACGTATTGCAACTCAGGCTCTGCAGACAAGAGGGTGACCAGCGGCGGGGCCAGTTTCTTCAGCAAAGTGCCGTAATAATCCAACTCCTTGGAAAGCATCTCCATGAACTTCATCAACACCTTCACGGCCGAAAGGACTACAGCAGAGTTGGCGTGAGAAAGCCGAGGGGTCACCCGCTCACAGATGCTGGCCGGGGGAGGAAGGAAGGAAGGAAGAGAAGTGTGAACAACAACTCTGGAAGGCAGGAGAGACAAACAGGGCTGCATGAGACCACCAGAGTTTGGGCTACCCCATGTCCCAAGCCCATCACCCTTAACCACTACACCAGTTCTTATCGTAAAACCCACAATGGGAACAAGGTCCAGCAATGAAACTTGGAACAGAAATGGTCTAGAACAGCTTTTTTTCAAAGTGAAGAATGCAACAGCTAATTCAAAAATGGCTTTCAGAATGTCTACTATACAGATATATATATTGTTTTGTCCTACTAAGCGGCAAGGAATTGAGGACTTTGATACAAGCAACGATTTAAAAAAAAGTAGAAACATTTGACATCGGGATTGAGATGCCACGGATTTCTCGGCTCAAATCAGACCGAGGAATCGTAAACATGTGAAATGCAGGAAAAGTAGAATAAGTTGGTCACGTAATAAGAAATGAATGGCACAGGAAATCACAGCTGATCATACAAGGTAAAAATCACACCGGGATGAGAAAAACTTTGGGGGCCGACTTGGATGTAACACAACCATGATTCCTGAAAGGAGTTGCACCCAAAGTCAAGCCCGGATGCTTACGCAGTCCCCAGCAGACAAGGAAGAGGAAGGAAGAAAAGGGAGAGGATGAAGGCAACAGAAACCAAGAGGATTTTATCCTGGCCTGCAAATGACTTGGTCTAGCACTCTGCTGGTCAATGGCCACAGGGAAGCTTGTAAGAGAAGCAGGATTTAAAACTCAAGGGGGGGGGGAAGCATACAGCAGGACCTCTGAAAGAGGAGCAGGTGCCTCACGGGACAGCACCGGGTTAAAGCAAAGGTCTCACGTTGTGGGACCCACCTCTGGGCTTCCCGGTCGTCCTTGGGCATGTAGTTGGCCAGGCAGTCCAGAATGAAGATCTGTCCCCACTCTGTGCACTCGTTCAGGGCCGTCAGCAGCTTGTTGATCGACTGCGGGTTCAGATCGAGCAAGTTGCTGCTGGGGTGAGATTCGGCGATTTCCGAGAGGGCGGCGACGGCGTTCGCAACCACCTATTGGGGAAAGAACAGGAGAATGTTGAGGGAAAGAAGCAACGGATTCCTTTACTCATTAGTTCCTCTGCCGCCTGCCTCGTGACTTTAGAAAGGTTGACTTTGGGGGCAAGAGCGTTCAGAATCTCTCAGCCTAGGAGGCTCGTAGCTTTACTGGCTGGGGATTATGGAAAGCACAGAATAAGGCAGCAGGAAAAGAGGAAGACCAAACACGAGATGGAAGGATTCAATAAAGGAAGCCACAGGCTGCAGTCCAGAAGAGCTGAGCTGGACGTTTTGGAGATTACTCGTTCATTAATCGGAGGAGACTTGACAGCAAGTAACAACAACAGAATAATAATAAAGAAACTTTTCATAACTCTAGACTGAATCTAGAATGAATGGGCTGAAACATGACAGCATCCAAGTTCTCACTGAGAAGATGAAGGTGACGTGCATCAAATCCCTCCTTCAACTCCCAAAACATTTCAGTTGTAGGCAATGCAGATTTTGGAGGCATTTTTGGGACTTTTTAAAGTGCTGTCTCAACTGGAACATTTTAAAAATACATTGGGTATCTCAAGTCTATTCTGGATTTGCAAACAGAGTCACTGCTTTTCACTCGCCCCTCTGCAATATATTGGTAGTTCCAAAACAGATACAGGTGTCACTTTGCTGAGTGGGGAAAAGCCAACCCTCAAGACTGCATTGGACTGCAACTCCCATCAGCCACAACCAGTTTAGTGAATGGTGAAGGATCATGGGAGCTGCAGCCCAGCAACATCTGGAGGGTTCCGCATTGCAACCTCCGTGCAACAGATTACGGTTGCAATCCTGAGAAAAGTCACGAGAGTAAATTTAACTGAATCTGAAAGGGGTTCACGCTTTGGACAAAGGCAGTGAAATGACAAAGCAGGATAACCTTCTGTGAGGGAGAGCCAATAACGCGTCTGCATTCATGATCTCTTAAAAAAAATGAAGAGATCAGAAGCCCGTGACCTCCAGCTGAGGAAGTCCCTCCCCCCTTTTTGAGCTTCTGTCACGGGTCACTTCCTCTTGCCCTCCCATCTCCATTTTCCCTGGTTTGAGTCCAAAGTAGCATCATTCCAGCAGCCAAGTTGAAGGTCACCACGGCTGGCTGCTCAGAAACGGCACCCAATGTGGATTTGCAAATCCTGCTCAAAGCTAACTATGTTTTAGACTCTGTGTGACTGCTCAACTCAACCTACTGGTTTAAATAAAGCCAGGCCAAACAAAAGGGAATAAAAGCAATAATAAAGACTGGAGAAAGAAAGGAGAAACAAATCTTGGTTAGCTCTAAAAGGGGAGATGGGAGGAGTATGTAGCTAACCAGGTAATCCTCCTTTCCAGCTTCTTGTGATTGAGAGATTTTGCATCTGCACTCGTTTACGTTGATCAGGCTACTCGGATCTCTCTGCTCAGTGGTCCCCAACCTTGGGTAATCAGGGTGCTCATGAACTGCAACTCCCAAAAACTCCAGCCACCACAGCTAGTGGTGAAGGTTTCTGGGAGCTGCAGTCCAGGAACATCTGGGGAGTCAAGGCTGGCCAATCGCACATTAAATGCACTTAATGCAGAGGCTCTTTACTTGTCTCAGACCTACACGGAAACCTTCTGAGTACTAATAAGCAGGTGCTCTACTCACAATCTTCCACCTTCCTTTAAGGGCAGAGCAATAAGGCAAACTGACTTGCTGAAAAGGGCCTCTCCAATCAAGTGCTTTTATATACCACTGTTTTGAAGTTAAAATTTTATTTAGACTGATTTGCAGGAAAAAGTTGATCGCTCCCTGATTTAACACACCTTGAATGCAGAAGGCGAAAAGGGAGCCGAG